TCACACAAGAGTAACGTGCCGACAAGATGGAGGTAGCTTGCAGCCACGTCTTCCCTCCTACAGAACCAACAACGCCGGTCCCTACTGAACCACACCGAGAGGAAACGTGTTCAGACGTTTGGAGGCCCCGTCATTTGCGGTCGGGAGACCTCGTTCCATATACACCATGGGTCAACCTAACCGCTGTGAACACCGAACTTCGCCCTCTTCTACTTTGAGCACTTGCAAGGATGTTGGGGATGGTTCAAGGCGGAAGACAGTAAAACACGGGTTTTGAACGTGAAGAGACTACGACAGCATCAACACACAACAGCAACGTGCCATGCGGTACATGGGGCAGTCTGGCCCACCTCGAATGATCGTCGTTGCTGGCGCACAGCAGCATCCCGGATGACGTCACGCCGCGCATGGCCCGGGAGGGGAGGTTGCAAAGCCCCACCACCATCCTCCCCCGCATCTCGTCTTCCGGAACATACGCCACAAGCCCGGACACGATCGTCCTGTCAACAGGCACCAGACACCGTGTGTGTGTGGGAAGGGGGGGGGGGGGGGGTGTACTCATAGTCGTGCATGCCGTAGTCGTTTGACCATTGACCTCGCATCCCTACAAAGCCGGGACGGAGCACGCCGGGTTCTCACCGGACCAGGCTCTCACATCACCAAGCGCGAAGCGCCGTGAGGTATTTGGCGAGTCGCATGAAGGGTGAGCTGCATCCTGCTAAGGGTGTTCGGCATCTTGTGCTTACTTCCTTGCGTACGGATGACAGCTACGTATGACTTAATTTATTTTCTGGTGCTTTCACTTCCAGAGACAGTTGTAAGCACTGTGTAACTGCCTCGAGGAAGCTTGACCATTTTAACACAACGTGGTGCGATCATCCCCCGTTGCGCGGAGTAAGGGTTATCGACCCCGCACAACGTAATCTACTCGACCACCATTATGGTTACCGCCAAAAAAAAAAAACGAGGTAAAAAAAAAAAAACAGTAACCTGGTTGCCGAGTTCACGAAGTGAGTTGGCTTGTTTTACAACGTCGTTGCCAAGCGACGAAAACCCAATCCCGATGGCAAACACCGAGTGGGGGGCTTGTTTTACAACGTCGTTGCCAAGCGACGAAAACCCAAACCCCGATGGCAAACACCGGGGGGGGCGAGTAGGGGGGGTGTTTTTATGGGTTGTTTTATATTATTGTTTTTACTCCGATATTTGATATTTGTTGTTTTAGTGAAGACACGTATCACCATACGCAGGGAGAGCGACGTCATTCCAATGGCTCTAGGCCAGACCTCAAAGCCGTCACCTTATTTGTTGTTGTTGTACATTCTACAAACATTCTATTTTTTTACTCCGATAGTTTTTCTTGGGGAGGACATGCATTGCCATGCACACGGAGAGCGACTTTGTTCCGACGGCTCTATTAGCACTAACCTTTTAACCGGCGACACCTCGAACCATCGCCCTTCAGGTTTCGACAGATAAACTACGACACAAGCTTTCAAAGCACGCACAAAAAAAATCGACCCTAGATCCTAGATCATATGCACGACTCGGAGAGAGACAAAAAGAGAGTCGAGTTCCCATCACCACCGATCAGACCCAAACCATCCCGGGTGTCCAAACCAAACCTTTGACGAAAGAAAGCACGCAGCTGCTATATCTACTGCTGTTAGGGGAGACAACGCGTCCCCTTGTTAAAATTGATCGTGCTTCTCTTCATAAGGTACAGGTCTCCCATTAAAGATTTCAGCGGGCGCTGCGGAAGCAACGGTACGAATCAACGACTCTCTGCCGAAGGACGTTCACGGCCGAACGCACGCTCGTATCCTGGGCAAAGGTTCTCTCTCACAGCACCGAAAACAAATATCCATCGAAGACGTAGGAACATGTTACATACATTTGCCAAAACCCGATCTAAGGACGTAGGGACATAATAACAGTAACAAAACAGTAGCAAAACCCATCGATCCAAGACGTAGGAACTAGCCCTACATACCAGTACAGCAAACGCTATCGATCCAAGACGTAAAAGACACACTCGTACATACCAGTAGCGGTTCAAGAGGACGGCGGCGCCCTCCAGCGTCACCCCGTGGAGCATGGCGTCGAACGTCTTGCGGGGCGGGGGGAGCGCGGGGACGCAGACCGCACGTCCCCTCTCGAAATTCATCCAGAAAGCGTGCTCAGCTTCCTGCATGGCCGGGTAGGTGGGACGGAGATCGAACGGGGGGTGTTTTGGGCTAGGGTTAGGGTTAGGGCTAGCGTTAGGGTTAGGGTTAGGGTTGGTTTGGGCGTGGCGCCTGACTCTCGAAGGCGGTGACCCCCTCCGGGAAGGAGGGAGAGTCTTAAGAGTGGTCCGCGCTGTCATGGGAGGATGAAAGGGTTAGGGGTAGGGACGATAACGATAATGTCGGACAATCACCGATGGCACGGCATCTGTACTTGAACTTGATCAAAGCCGTCGTCGTGGTTGTCCGCTCTCCATGCTTTCGTGCTTCTCATTGGTCGTCACGTCTCCCTCGACGGGGACATCTGGAAAGAACAAGCAGAGCCTGCACGTCGCCACCGCCGCAACCTAGCTTAGGCTTAGTTGGTGCTGGCGGCTGTTGTGTCGGTAGATGAGCAGATTGAACCAGCAGGCACTCTACGAACGAGAAAAAACGAAGAAGGCAATCGTGACCTTGCAAGTCTTCTACTAATAAACGCGACTCCGTGATCGCCGTACTTGTTCCTGGCTCTGCCCTGCATCGCTGTGTGGCGGCTCGGTTGTGGCAGATAGTAGGGGTTCTAAACCGGGCTCACAAACGATGCCCATGTTCTTGTGTGAGCATGAAGTTCGTAGCTGCCAAGTTCTTGAGTGAGGGCGCTATCTGTACTTGTCCTTGTTGGCCACCTCGACGGCGGTCCTTAGGATTAAACAACATCAATTCTCGTCCGGCTCTGCTGTTACTTTCGCTCTTCGCTGCTTGAAACCGTCGCATCGCGCTCTCTGCTACCAATCGCAGGCGGAAAGACAGCACGCAGAAACTTGAAACTTCGTTCAGCACCAGGGAAGCGCGCCGCCTGTACAACAACGTGTTCTCGACTATTACAATGACAGCGTGCTCTTCACTGCTGAATAATAAAATGACAGAGCATTCCAAAATGAAACAATAATAACAATTTTCCACACAAGCAAATAAAAAGGTGCACCAGGCGCGCCGCCAGCAAAACAACACTACAAGTATGTACGAGCGAGAAAACTCCCATCTTTCTCACGCCTGTGTCTCGCATAGTCTTGCGTCTTCACAATCACAGGAAGCACAAACAAACGCGGCCTAGAGAGGAACACATGGTACCGTGCATACCCGCAGGTGACACGACATGACACAAGATACCACACACCCCGGACCGACTTGCAAAGCTCAATTACAATGCTCCACAGCAGAAATAGTGGCGGTGCCAAAAAAGGCGGCATTGAAACCGTCTCGTCGAGATCTTTCCGAATACACATCATTTGATGTTGGCATCCTCTCCGTCCTGGCGTGATCGAGCATTTAAGATCGCTCCCGGGGGTGTGGTATCTTGTGTCATGTCACCTACGGTAGCATTAATGGCCTCGAGCGGAGTAAGTAATTCTTTGCGAGCAGTGCTCAAACCCTGGTTTCCACACAACTTTGGTTCCCGCAAGTGTGCGGGAGTGGTATAAGTCACCCCGATACATACATATAATTATAATAATTAACATATTAATTTATAATTAATGTAACTATAATAGTTGATAACTGTAAAAGTACCATAATTGTATTAATAGTAGCCTCACCAGTGACGGTAGCGCTCGAGCCAGGAACGCGCGGTCCGGTCGAGCGGAGTACACCTCGCACACCATGTCCGACAGCAGGGGCGGCTGGCTGCGCTCGGTGTAGTACAGTCGGCCGCCGTTGGGCACAAACCTGGATCGAGAGCAGCAAAAGACGATTGCCAAGCGGCCAGGGAGACCCAGACAACCACAACAGCAGAGAACAAAAGAAAGAAAGAAAGTTGGCAAAAAGGCATGAGCTTTCGGTAGTACACGCTTTCTCTAACCTAGCCGAGGGGTCATGTGCAAGCTTACGCCTCTGCGGGGGTGGCTGTATGTACCGGCGCCCAGACCATATGGGACAGGGAAGTACAAAAACACGGTAGATATCAGATAGGAGTTGTTTTCTAATCGCTTTCAATCAGCGCTCACAGCTCACAGCAGTTGTGCCTGGTAGGAGGTGCAACCCGTGGTCACACAGGGAAGGGCTCCTCTCCCTCCACCCCATACCTCCTGCGGTAGGTGCTTGGCTTCGATTCTTAATGCGAGAAGAGTGCAGCACTCTCTTCCCTCAATGTGCATACACGAACTATGTAGCGAATGGCAGGACACGGGAAAAAAACGTACCATACAGCAGTAGTTGCAGCAGCATGGTCCAAACGAGCTCTCTTTCGGTGCGTCTTACCTACTCAAAATAATTTCATCAGCATCATAACAACAGTCTCAGACCGACGCGCCAGCACGTTGGAACAAAAAATCTTATTTCGTTCACGGTCCGCAGGAGTTTTTCCTTGTTGCGTCTTTTCTAACCCAAAGAATGGCATCGGCATACGGAGAAGAATATACTCGTACAGACCCGCACCCCTATAGAACGAACTTCGTATTTCGTTTATGGTCCATACAAGTTTGCTTCGTAGCGTCTTCTTATCATACACCCGAAACGGTCCGCGTTGTTGATTGGCTACGTCAAAACGGTCCACGTCGTTGATTGGCTACCTCTTTGTGTCTTACCCAAAACGGTCCACATCGTCGAGAAGGTTAAGGACAGCGCCCCTCGCAGTGTCCACCATACCCGAAACCACCAGACCCCTTCAACGAGAGGGAGAGAGAAGAAACGGCACCACCACAAACGCAGCAGTAGCAGCAGCAGCAGCAGCAGCAGCAGCGCGCGATAGGATGCATCATTTTGGTGCAAAAGCAGCAGCAGGAGAACATGGGAACGGGAATAGTCGGGGCATCGTTTTGGTGCCAAAGCAACAGCAGGCGAGCATTGGATAGGGTTGCTTCGTGTGTATATCTCTTTGGTACACTGTTCAGCAGCCGCTTCCCGTTGCACGCAGACGCCACCCTTCTTTCCTCGGGCATGCAAAAAAAGCACTCACTCACGCAGTCACAGTCATCTGCTTGCTCGTGCACGCTCCACACCAAACCACAAACCCCTTGCTATATACATACATGTACCACGGTAATATAGCGACCATTGGGACAATCACATTTAGTATACGAATGGTCCTGATATTTCCCAAAAAAAGCGGCGCGTACGTGGGAGGAGCCGATACCAGAGAAAAATGATATTTCCCAAAAAAAGCGGCGCGTGCGTGGGAGGAGCCGATACCAGAGAAAAAAAAAGGCATGGTGTGAATTACCTACACACCTGATTGTCCAAAGGTGTCCCAGTAGGAACAGACCCTTGCGAAAACAGAGACAAAAAGCATGGTATGAATTACCTTCATGTACCGTACCTGATTGTCCAGAAGGTGTTCCACTAGGAATTGACCCTTGCGAAAACAGAGAACAGAACACATGGTGTGAATCATCTACATGCCTGATTGTCCAAAGGTGTCCCACTAGGAATAGACCCCTGCGAAAACAGAGAACAAAGTAAGCATCGTGCGAATTACCTACAACTTCGTACCTGATTGTCCAGAAGGTGTCCCAGTAGTACGACTCACGGAACCGTCCCCCCGGGACAACAACCGGGTGTTGTCGCGGAAGGAGCGAGTGCCTCTGCGGGTTTACCGCCACGTCGGCGGCGTTCGCCCTCACCAGCAGCGGCCACAGGCCGTGGATGGCACGTGCCCACTCTCTGTGCACGTGAACAAAAAGGGGGGGGGGGGGGGGGGGGGTCGTTAAGCGGTTGGTTTAGCTCGCAGGAGAGTAAGTTAGCAAGTTAGCAAGGAACGAAAAAAATATATGGGATTGGATGGAGACCCAGGCTAGAGAATCCGTCAAAAAAATAGTTAATTTTTCGTTCGGGGATTGGTATGTTCGCAAGAGAGTTAACTTAGCAAGAAACCAACACAAAACGGGGGTTTGGATAAAGGTCCAGGCCAGAGAATCTGTGAAAATAGAAGTTATTTTCGTTCGAGGATTGTGCGTTCGCAAGAGAGTAAAATAGCAAAGGTTTAAGAAAACTTAAGTTTTATATAATGGCCCGGGCTGGGGAGCCTTGCCCGATGCCTGCACTTCAGGCCGCGTGGTTGGTTGGTGATGGTATCCAGAGAACCGGGGATGCCTCCAAGCTGGAAAAAAAGTCGTTGCTGGCTACAATGGGTTGGTACAGCAGCGGTATACGGGATGTTGCCGGCATTGTTGGGAGCTGCGGAACCAGCGGCGAGTCAAGCGTAGGCGAGTCCTGCTGCGTGAAGTGTGTGTTGGGGAAAGATAACTGCTGTTGTACTACGAACGGTATGCACACTTGGCTGGCGGGCGAACACAGGTAGCGCCCGCCCGCACCCAACACCTTGGCAGTTTTAAGAACTTTATGCTCCATGATAAATAGGACGAAAAAAAAAAAAAGCTCAACATCTTATCAACACCTACATAAGAACTTGAGCACCACCTGCGAGCCCGGATAACAACCCCTACACGAAAACCTATATATCGACCATTCGTAGCATAACCCTATACAGGAAGTAAGAACCCCAGCCTCGACCAAAACTAGAGTAATAGCGACATTTCCTAGCATAACCCTATATAGGAACTGAGAACCCCAGCCTCGGCCAAAACTATTACAGAGTTTTTCGAGTGCGGGCGTATGCTGTATAGCAACCACTTCTAGCATAACCCTATATAGGAACTAAGAACCCCAGCCTCAGTCAAAACTATTATAGAGTTTCTTGAGTGCGGGCGTATGCTGTATAGCAACCACTTCTAGCATAACCCTATATAGGAACTAAGAACCCCAGCCTCGACCAAAACTATATATATAGCGACCCTATTCTATCATAACCCTATATAGGAACTGAGAACCCCAGCCTCAGTCAAAAACTAGTACCAGAGGTTCTTGAGTGAGGGCGCTATCTGTACACGGCCACAAACCTTCGCGGGCCGTCTTCGATGCCATCCAGGAAAGATGGGTTAGGGGAGAAGTCCTCGGGAGTGACGGACACGATGTCGCTTCCAGCCTCCTCAAAGTATGTCGACACGAACTGCGCTAGCTGCTCGCAGGACAAGGTCAAGGTGACGTCGGGGCGCGGTACAAAGGCAATGGCGGGGTGATGGTACATGGATTGTGCTGCACTTGCTGTTGTTGCTGCTTTTGTTGCTATGTTTGCTGCTTTGACACTGATTCCTGTTGCTGCTACAGCTACTACTATTTGCTGCTGGTGCTGGTGCTGGTGCTATTGTTGCTGCTATTGCTCTTGCTGCTACACTGTCGCAATGTTTGCTGCTTTGCTACTGCCGCGTGTTGCTGCTACAGTATTGCTGCTGCTCTTCCAGCTATTGCTGGTGCTGTTGCTGCTATGATATGGCTGAGGATGTCGTTGTCCACGAGAAAAGGCGTCCCAACCTCTACCTAGTAGGTGGTGCCAAGGATGTCAAGACACGAGTGCCGACTACCCAGAGCGTTCCTCAGACAACTCAGACAATCTATTTTTGTAGCAGAATCACGTCAAAAAGACATTCAAACATGGCTATTTTCAGAGCACCCATTTATGACGTCGACATTGCTCAAAAGGATTTCTTCATTAATACAGCGCAACATGGTTGTGCTGTATCGACCAGTTACACAGGCATTTTTTGAGCGGCCATTACTCATGTTGTGCATGCCTTAACTGCTAGACCATTGACAAAGCGTCCCTGAGAGGACGAAGCATTGTTCCCACAGGACCGATGGCCAATCATTCCTTCCTAACCTGCCACATGTATAGGGGGGGGGGGGGGGGGGGGGGG